TTATTTTTATTATGTTGCTCTTTGTTGTTTGCTTTCTCTTCTGTTTTTATTTCTCCATACAGGTGATCCAGGTGTTTTGTTTGTTTTTCTTTCTTTCCTCCCCCCTTCTCACCGTCTCTTCTCCCCTTTGGTTTTCTTTCTCTCCCTCTCTTTCTTTCATTCTTTCTCCCTGTCCTATCTCACAGTCATGTCTGTCCCGTTTGTAGCAACCGAAAATAAAATAAATTCATTTCCATCTCCTCTTTACAATCACGTTTAAGGGTGCGCGTATGTTTATTCAACCATGGCTATGATAATAGCTTATCGTGCACAGTCCTGAGTGGAGCGATAGTCCAAAATATCAGTACAGGTTAAATGAAGGATGTGCAAAAGGTCCTCAACGCTTTCGCAGCTGGAGTTCAATATTTCAGAGTCCACAAAAGCAACAGAAAATTTAGACACTTATTAGGCAATATACTCCACTATAATTCCTATTAATAATTGTTATTTAAGTCCAGTTATTTAAAAATCAATACTTATTTTCCATGACCGACTTCTACATGTTTGAGTAGTAAACATTCGCCATGCTGCTCTTATCTGCATGTTCCTACACAGCTAAACTGTGTTTGTGTGTGTGTGTGTGTATGTGTGTGTGTGTGTGTGTGTGTGTGCGGCAAAGTACACGTGATGATCGGAGCAGAGAGACGTCAACATGGACATTAATCCCCTGCTGCTGCTGATGCTGCTGTGGAGCTCAGGTAGGACACTAACATCACCACGACACACACGTGCATCATATAAAAGGATCAGTGAAGGAAAGAAAAAACTGCACTGTGACACTTCAACAGCTTCAATTTAGAATCGTTCAGACGCCAAAAAACAAAAGTCAGTTTTTAATCTGTTTACGGTCACTTTGACCTGCAGCCTCACATGTTTTAAAACTTTATTAACTATTCTGCTGCAATCATTTAAGAGCCACAGTTTTCATCTTTCTGCAGAATTACTTTAGTTTGTAGTACTTTAATACGACCCAAAAATCACTTACTTACGACCCCGAGCTGACTGTTGGGGTCGTAAGTAAGTGATTTGAAAGAACAATAAAATACCAATGAAAGTGCAACTGCAGTACCAAACCCTACAAACGGTTTACCACATCTAGTAATACAATTAGTATGCATTCCACAGTCTTTAAACTAGAAGAGTTTGTGCCTTTGAAAGGGTTAAACAGGTCATTGTATTCCTGTTTTGTCTTTCTGGAGTATTTTAAAAATCCTGAAGCTGCTTCATTGACATTCCTGAGTTACGTTTACCTGATGCTGTCATTCAAAATTTAGATTTTCAAACGGGGAGGTTTCCTGATCTGATGCAAGAAATCCCCCCTGACTGATGCATTGTCGCTGCAAAATGACACTTTAACTGGTGGCCTGCTGCACATAACGTATCAGGGGCTGAGAACATTCTGCTTTGATGCCACTGTGCAAACACAGGGGCGATCAATAACTGTTTGAGTCACTGATTGTCTTATTACTAAATCTCTATTCAAAAAAGTCTATAAAAAGACTTTACAGACTGCTACTACTAGTTATGTTTTTCTTTAGTCCCATGTGCTTTCATTTAACAGTACTTAAAATGAGTCCCATTAAGCTTTCTCTTCATACTATCTATTCAACGGAGGTTTCTTCCTACCAAGAGGGACTTTTTCATCCCCACTGTCATCATGTGCTTGTTCATAGTATATGAATATGAATATGACTACATTCATATTATTGTACTTTTCCAAGAGGTTTTGAGACAAAGTTAAGAGGCTTTGAGATTTGCACATGAGGCAGGTGACGCAGCTAAGAGAAAAAAAAAACACAAAACAATGGTTCTTCTCTCATTTTCTCCTCAGGACTCCAGGCTGAAGTAAAACACGATTCAACAGGTAAACAGAAAAATAAAAAATAGTACCAAAATCAAACTCACTAGAAAATTTTATGAGGAATTTCCCCTCCTTACTGAAACTCTCTGCTTTCTGTTCAGAGTTTATGAGGTTGGTGGGAGGAGCCAGTCGCTGTGCAGGCACACTGGAGCTGAAGCATCTGGGAGAATGGAGACGAGCTACTAGTGGAAATGTAGTGGACTACTTTGAAATGGAGGCAGCAGCTGCTTTCTGTCGAGATCTGAACTGTGGCTCTGCTGTTTCTTTACGAAAGAGACAGGTGTCATACCAATCTTTGTGGCTACTCATAGCTGAATGTCGACCTGATTATGATTTGCCAAGATGTGTAATGTCGTGGAACGCTTCTTCGGTTCTGGAGCTCACCTGTTCAGGTAAGCCAGACTGGTGATATTAGATGATGTCACCAGTCTGTGACATCATCTAATGATTGATAGAGGTTGGTGAAGCAGACAGCAAAGGTCCTGTTTGATAACTACTCCTGTTTCTGCATCTTGGCTTGACTTAACTCTTTAGTTTCTTTTCATATTTGTGCATGATTATTTTGAGTTTTTATGTATTTTTGCTTCTTTCTGTTCTGCATTCTGTTGTTTTTTTTTTAACTTACTTTCTGTACAGCACTTTGGTCCTGTGCTGGGTATTTTAAAGTGCTTTATAAATAAAATTGGACTGGATTTTCATCATGTAATTAGAGCTGTGAGTAAGAAACATGCTCACTTCATACAGGTCCTTAAATATACTCCACAGCGCTTCTTGCAGACAATGACACAACCTGGTAAAAAATAGTTGAAAAGCTACAGTCCCTGTTTGTCTGTTCATGTTAATCTCTGGCTCTCTTCCACAGCGTGTTTTTGGCCCTGTCTCCCTACCTTCACCTCCACCTGGTTGCAGTAGATGGCTGCACCTCCCTGAGTTAAACTGAATTTAAATTGATATTATGCATAAAATTATGGCTGACTTTGCTCTGAGCACTACAGACAACTATTATTCTCCGAGCTCCATCTATTGCTAACCTTTCGTGCTTTAGTGATGGCCTTTCCTGCCCAATGTTTTTTTTCTCTTATTAGCTGCTTGTGTATTTAAATCCCCTTCAATTTAGTTTCAGTTATTTAGCACCAAATACCTCAAGGCACTTTATATTGTAGGTAAAGACCTTACAATAATACAGAGAAAATGCAAAAAATCTGACAATCAACTGAGCAAGTGCTTGGTGAGAGAGGGAAGGAGAAACTCCCTGTTAACAAGAAGAACCTCTGATAGAACAGTAGTATCTCATAATTATGTCTTGATGCATGCTTAACCATCCAGGTATGTAATCTCAAATGCCTTCATCCATCAGCTGAGATTGAAGTCAGGTTCGATGAGTGACCAAATGTTTCCTCCACTGAAAGTGTTGGACTCCATGCCTGGAATGCCGGTGTCCTGCAGGTTTTAGATGTGTGCTTGATCCAACACTGCTGATTGAAATGCCTAAATTACCTCCTCAACATGTCTTGAAGTTCTCCAGGAGCCTGGTAATGAACTAATCATTTGATTCAGGTCTGTTGACCCAGGATCATATTTAAAACCTGCAGGACACTGGCCCTCGAGGCCTGGAGTTCGACACCTCTGGTCTAGATGAACAGAATGAACCTTTTGGGGTGTCTCATAATTACATGCAGATGGGGTTGTGGCGGGGCGTGGCCTGCGGTGCCGTGCAGAGGAGGCGGACCCACCAGATCATTACATGAAGGAACCTTTTAAAAAAAACAAGCGTGTCCATGCTCACAGGTGTACACACGGGTGATCACACCCACAAACTACACCCTTTTTGGCTCCTACCTCAAAGCACACTGTGTTCTGTTGATCTTATGTGC